TGCCAAAAATGACATGAGTGGAGTCAACTCTGGAAATCAAATCTGCAGGGGGGAAGTGAATTTCACTCTCCCCACCCCATAAAACACTGTAAATAGCATGTTTTTGTTGGCATGCAAAGGCATTGGCGACTGTAGGCGAATCACACTTGTTGTTGCGAAAACACAAAACAGGTGAATTCAGATGCAGATGGTGAACATGTAACCTTGAAGACAAAATTACAAGCACAAGAACCCAACAAAGTCACATCACCCGCAAAGTTTTCCGTCATCACGCCACCTTCTGACCCACTTGGGTCTCCAAATCAATTGTTGGAGTTGGGGCCGTGCTTTTGTGTTTTTTTGGTGTGTGGTTTCCATGTTTTTTTGTTTCTACAGTGTTTGTTTGTTTTCTCAAGCTGCTCCTCTTCCCTTTCTCTTCTTCCCAGTCTCTTCTCCCCATGTTCTTCCCTTTCTCTTCTTCCCAGTCTTTTCCCTCCTTCGAAGATAGTGCCATGGCCATTGATGGTCTACTTCATTCGAGCTGCGCTGCGATCGCTCGAGCTCTGTATTGTCTTCGGGTGGACCGTGGGTGTGCCTGTCGACACTGCTTGGATGCACCAGGGGTTGTAAAAAGGGAGCCAGCAGCCTCTCTTCCCCATCTCCAGAAAGGGTTTTGGTTGAACACTGGGCGGTTTACAAGAACAAGTTGTCTTGAAAGGTAATGCAGCGAAATAGCAGATACATGCAGATACGAGAATATACGGTGAGCAAGTAATTGAGGCAACAGGAACGAATGGACAAAGAGGACTGCTTATGTCAACTCAGCTATTGCCAACAAAAGGGTGAACACAGCTGTCTTGAGCTGTCAAAGAGGGACGGTTTTTGTGGTCTTGCAAGGATCGCTGCCTCGCAACACGAGGCGAAGGCAGCTTGAAATGTTGAATGCGCACTCTCTTTGCAAGGTAGACCGACCCCGACTACCACGATGGCCACCAGTGGGTGCAAGTGAGTCTGGTGGTTTGGTGGCGAATGGCGGGTCTACGTTGAGGCGCTGCGTGCTCTTTGTTGTCAACAAGTCACAAACGCCCACGTGGTATGTCAAAGTGTTGGAACGGAAGGCTGCTGAAGGTTGTGGCTTGAGTAGGACTTTGAGCTCGACAGGCGGGTGGACGAGTGTGGCTGGGAGCAGTGCACCGCGTGGTACCCTACTGATGAGGTTGGCCGCCATGACATCGGCCGCTCTTGGGTGGGCTCCGTGCCACCGACTGTTTCAGAGTGGGAGGAGGAAGGCACGGCTTATCGCATTTGTGCAATCAAACCTTTTTTTGCACAAAGGATCATGTAGCTTCAGGCTTCCGCGGCTTCAAGCACAGACGTATCAGTTAGGTTCTTCAAGTTCCGAGCGAGAGGCCGCCTGCACCACCGCCGGCTCCTGGCATGGGTGCTCTCCGGAAAGGCGCCGCGGTCAATTAAACATGCATTGAGACTCTAACCATGGAATATTCAAGGATTGAGAAGCCCGGGCGGCGACTGAAAAGAATTAAAAAGCACAACGAAAAGCCGCGATAGGCCTTCTGCAGAAACCCGCGGTATATAAATAGGTAAGGAGCTGGGCTGGCGTACCTCCGGTAGAAAGGGTACCGTAGTACCTGGTAGAAAGCTTGCCGGTCGAAAAAGTACAAGTAGAAAAGGTACCAGTAGAAAAGGCACCAGTAGAAGAGGTACAGGTAGAAGAGGTACCGGTGCCACAAAAGGTGCCGGTAGGAAAGGCACCGGTAGAAAATTTACTGGTCCGATCAGGCCGGTAGACAAGGTACCGGTAGAAAAGGTACCTGTGGAAAAGGTACAGTCGAAGAGGTACCGGTGTATAAGTAGAGGTACCAGTAGAAAAGGTACCGGCAGTAAAGGTAAGGCGCACAACGCCTGATTTTCATGATGTCCGACTGAGCAAGGGGTAACCCGTCTTCGAGAATTGACGTTGGCAGTTCTCAACTGACACTACTTGCCCTCGAACGCGTCCATCGTGGCGCTAGTGGCAGCTATCAATGTGCACCCATGTGTGCCACAGGAAATCCGTCCACACCCTGCCGGCTAAACAAACGGCCTCATGGGCAATTTTTTGTTTCCACCAAATGTTCAAGCTACCGGCAGGGTGGGGACGGTCAATGGGTTGAGTTGTACAGCTCTACAGTACGATATTTTGTCATGATTCATGATGGTTGACTGTTTGTCATGTTTTGTGCTATTCCATCGGTGAAACATATAAGTCGTGTTCATGATGATCTTTTCCTTCTCGAGGATACCCTTACGGAATACACGAGTACCAAGCCCCAAAATCCACCATCGAGAGATGAAGAAACAGAGCTGTTGCTTTTAAGAACCCAGATTCCCAAGCAGGATGCCATAAGGTCCCATCCTGAAAATGAGAAGAATGAGGATGTCCTGAAAGTCAGGACACATAAGTGAGTGGCTGTGAAAGGTGAACTTCTCTTGTCTTGAGGTGTACCCTGTTGGTTCATTGACTGCTGTTGCAGGTTAGTCTGAGCAGTGCAATGGTGCGACGAGCAGCAATACTAAAGAAACATTGCTGTTGATTATCGTCCAAACAAGGGATGAGGGTGCATGCAGGCTCGGCTCATAACGCTCTTCCTAGGAGCCATTGATCAAGAAAACCATTGGGTAAAGCAGGGAGAAACGCAAGAAAAGACACTTACTTTAAATAGTTTGTTCATGTACTTCATGTTCTTTCCTTCTTCGCCTTTTCTTTTTCAATTTGTTGTTGTCCATTGGCTTTCCATCCTGTTCGTTATCCTTTTCATTGCCCTTTTCTTTCATGTGTTCTTTCCTTTTCCCTTTCCTTTTCTTCCTCTTCCTTTATGCTCCTGTCCTTTCCATGTCTTTTCCGTTTCTTTTCTCTTATTTTTTGCTCATTTTTTAAAAATCAAAATATATATTCAAAGTGGAACCACTCGCCTTCCTTTTTGGGGGGGCTTGGGGGGTGTCCTTGCTGAACAAGAACCGGTTGGCAATTTCCTGAGAAGTCTGGCCTTTGGACGAAGCGAACGGTCCGAGCGAAAGGAACGAACGTGGGTTTTTCGGATGGCAATGGAATCTACGGCACGGATAAAGCGTTTGTTTTGTTTCTTTCAGGAAGGTCAGTTGAAGTCTTCGGGCAAAAAAATCATGAAAAGACACCAGATGCAACTTAGTAAATATCACTAAATCAGCTAAACCATGTAAATCTACACAACGCAGTCCTTGGATAAGGCTGTTTGCAAACAAAAATCCATGGGATTTCCGGAGTTTGTTATCAAACACACCAAACCAAAGAATCCCTCAATTCGAGGCCTCGCAGGTGCGTCACTTCGGTCAAACTTGCGGTAACAGGTCAAGGCGCCAAAACCCATTTCATTTCAGTTCCAAATGATTCTCGATGTTTCTATTGTTCACAGGTAGTTTAGACAACGTAAAATGGACACCCGATTGGTAGTGATGAAACATGTGTCAAAAATGGTGGAACATAGAATCGTCATCAACCTTTGCATCCTTCACGCGAATTCACTAAAAATATCAAAAAAACGGATGGGTCCGGTTCTTCACAAGTCCCACAAAAGTTTATCAAAACCACGTCGTCACCTGTGCCACGTCCTCACGAGGAGATGCTGAAGTTGTGGTGGCGGGCGGCCAGGAGAGCATGTCGGACAGCCCCCATGTGCTCAACCGACGCTTCGGTGAACCCCAACGCCGTCGCGGTCGCAGGACGGTGCGGAGTGGACATGTCTGGGGCGGGGGTGGTCACTGGTAGAGCTGCAGACTGGGTCGAAAGCTGTTGGCTGGTATGGAAAATATCCCTGGGGATCTACATACCTTCAAGAAAATAGGTAAGACTGGTCCCTCCTGGCATCTGTATAAATAGTTTCCAATCGGCTTCCCAAAAGGTATGTGGATCCATGGGGGTATCACTTATAGAAGAAAAGACTCGGCTGAGGGTTTGACGAAGGAAGAGAAAGGAACACTAACAAGTCGCTGTGCCGGTCATTTTCCAACTCGTCAGTTTGAACCCAAAATATATCGACTGCGCAACCACTGTGCCGTGCATTGGATGATATCCAGTTATTGGTAGCCAGAAATACAGGTGTCAGTGCATTCCTTCCAACAAACACCTGCAGTTTTGAGCCGACTGTGATCGGGTGAAAGATTTCCACAACAGAAGCCAGGGTGGGTACACACAAGTCAGAACAACATCAAAAGCAGTGAAATGTGCTAATGTGCATGTTGCATGATGTTTGTGCTCAATATATCTTTGTTTCACCAGAAAGCAGGAGAGCAAAGAACAAAGAAGATGTGTTGTCATTCCACTTGCACAAACCTATGCCGCATGAAAGGCCTGCCATTTCAACTTCTGCCATTCACAATGCCAGAAACCCACAGTTGCACGTGCTCCGTTCTGCTCCGTTCTTCTACTTTTCCGTCCACTCGGCCGAGGAAGTCGGGATGGGCAACGCATGGGCGACTGGAAGATGACCGACACGATGATCGTGGATGGCCTGTGGCCGCTGGGGTCGTGAACTTGTGGACGGACACGGGATGGGTGTGGATGTCCGGATCGAAAGCCCCCCAAAAGGAAGGGCCAGTTCAACAATACTATTGTATATATTACTACACATCTAGATTGGTGTGCATTTTAATAAGAAGACTGACAACCAATGGGTTTTGGTCCATTTCCCTTCTTCCAGGGGTCTTTGGACCTCTCGCTATTTTGACACACACCCATAGACATAGCTTACTAGATAGACGTTCGATGACTTTCACCTCTTCTTCGATGCCTTTGTGTAAGTGTACTACTAACCCCCCCAGGAGGATGACGGCACCGAACGTGGGGATATAGCATTGCCAAGAAAGTCTAGAGCAGAACACTGTTTGATGACTACTCCAGTGGATCCAGTTACCCTAAGAATCCCTGCTATTCTCCAATGGAAAGGGTTTTGAGGGTCCCCCGGGAAGGTGTCGGGTCCGGCCTTTGCTATGAAGGGCCCATTGTGTGGGCACTACTATAATAGCTGGTAACCAGTGCAGTTCCAAAGATCAAAACCATAGACCAAACGAAAACCATGGTTCCTTATACTGGGACGTTACATCATTTCAGGGATATTTGGCATTTGACCTGGTTGTTATATCCTTATTAGACAGGGCTTGCACTGGACCTTTGAACAGCCCTCATCCGAGTCTGGTCCAATACGACCCTCCTCCGATGCGTACCCAAGCGATAGGGGTCGGACAGGGCGTTGGTCTTCGCTCCTGGAGATCCCAGAGGAGACCCCAGAGATCCCAAACAGAAGCATAGGTATGGGCCGTCCCATACGAGCCGTATACACCGGTGAGCAGGGACGACCGTCTTTTGACATGTCGTTTGAAGGGTCTAGTTGTACCGAACCCCAAAGCTTCGTGGTACGGCAAAGAAAACGTTCGAAAGACCCAGACAGGCCATCGTTTCCTTGGGATGGCCAGGTACGTCTAGACCTGTTTTGTGCATTCGATATCAATTGGTCCGGGACCCTTTTTGAGGCTTCTTGACATCTTTGGCACAGGTCCGGGACCCTCTAGTGCTGCCACTGTCCACATGTGGGGGATGTTGAATTCCCTATCAAACACAGAAATCACCTGTACACGCAAATTGGTTCCGATGGAGTCACAAAGTGGCTTGATCCACCTCCACAACTGCTGAACCGGGACTACGTGTTTGTTGTTTTTGGATGTTTTTGGCGTACAGGTTGTTGGTTGGAACCTAACCCAGACCATCCATGGGACTGAAATTACTGTACATTTACCCAATGAAAAGGATTACACTATTAAACCATTAAACCCTCCAACCATATCCTCAGAAGGTGGTTAGACCCCCAAAATCCACCGCAACCACCAAACCTTAGGAGCTAGTTGGAGCACTAGGGAAATGACCCATCCATGGCAACTTCTTCCAGTGTGGTCTGGGCGTCAAATTGAGCGACATCTGATGAAACGGTCGACTGGGAAAGTCCTTCAGCAGCGAAACTCCTGGTCACTCTCTGGAATCATCATGGAGGTTGATGGCACTCCACTTCGATGATTAAGAAGTGTAAACGAATGTGAAAAGCAAGGCTCCGAGCAGAAGGAAGAGGTCCCCTAGAAAAAGGGGTGGATCCTCTCTCCTTATTCTGCCCTCTTTCCTTTCACAGCTATATCGTGTTTCAGGGTTCAGGTTTGTAAGTCAAGATCTTTTTTCCAGAGGATCTATGGGATTGGCATATTTGCCTAGTTTTGGCCTGATCGGTCACTATGCCTATGCCAGTGAGCAACCCTATACCATGCTGTTCGCTGTTCATGTTTTGTGGTTAAACAAATCCTACGACAGTCGGCAGTTGCCATCGGTTCGAAACCGCAGAGACAGGTGTGCCTTCAACAACTACCACATGGGCATGACTGCGGAGAACGTTGCGGCCAAGTTTGGTTTAGATCGCACCTGGGTGGTCAAGCCGTCGTGGGTTCTTGGTTTCTGGGAGGGGCAGCGGCTTTAGCCGACCCAGATCCACACAACAAAAACACCCTTTGAAAACCACGAACTGTTTGAAGTGAACACCGAAAGCTGCAAATACCGCATGGGAAGTTGGAGATTCAAAAAGCGCTACTCGTAGGTACAGGCGTCACAAAGGGGTGGGGTTGTTAGTCCCATCCTGTGAGTGGATGTGCCGACTTCCTCCAAGAATTATGCACCCACGAACGGCACGAACTGGAACTGCTGGATGAGAAGTTTCGACGTGTCATTTGCCTATCATTTGCCTTCATTGACTCCTTAGAAGGGGTTTCTACCATCTACTAACAAGGGGAAACCGGGCCCCCTATTAACCAAACCCTTGTAACGAACTGCGGATTCTCTCCGGGCACCCGAACGACCGTGGTTCCGACCGAGGCGCCCAGCAGGACGCCTTTGCCGCGGAGAGCCAACGGAAGGCCGCCGAGGCGCAGAAGGCGGGGGCGGAGGGGGGGGGGGGGGAGGGGGTGACCAGCGGCGGGTTGTTGGAGAGGTGCTTTTGGTGTCTTTTGTTTGGGAAAAGAGCCGTGACGTGCGGAGGTTGCGGGTTGGGGAGGGTGGTTGGATGTTGTGTGTGTGTGTGCGTTTGTTTATTCTCTTAACTGAGATCATCAGTTTAGGCACCTTCAGGCACTTGAAGAGCAATCGGAGAGCGCGTTCTTCATGTATATATGTCTTGTTTCAAAAGACATCATGATTTGAACAGGAGCGTGCATCCCTATGTTTCCCTATGTTTCCAGCGTACTCAGGTGGTTTCTAGAATGGGTGAAAAGACCTCTAACTCCAGGGTTCAGACTCAGAGTTACGCAGGGATGGAGAGCAACATCGATGGACAGAAGGTGCCATCCACGATAAACACCTATTTTTACATGTGCGATCTTCGACTCGGCGGGCCGCTGCGCCGCCCCGATCTTGAGGCGGGCCGCTTCAAGGACCAGATCGTGCCGATGCAGACTGCCAAGAAAGGCCATGTAACCATGGGCCACCACGGGCCATTCTAGTTTTGGTGGCAACCATCATGATCCGGTGAGTGGTGGTGTTGGTCCATCCAATTGACCCCAACTCAGAGGGGTACAGTGAGACAGGTGTCACCAGTGTTTCATACCAGCACCTTCAAAGGGGTCACCAATGGAAGACCCTGCACTTATGCATCTCCATGGGTCTAGAAAGGTGTTCTCTTGTTCGGAATATGTTCTCACAGAAGAACTTGATCTTGGCAAGAGCAGAGTTAGCATGGTTAGGGTGTATCCCAGTCAACCAGTAACAATTGGTCAGAAGATGTTCACCATTTCACTGTTCTTGAGAAAGGCCTGCAACCTAATTATCCATCATCATTGGGATATACCAATATACCTGATATTCCCAAAGCTTTCACTCCAGAGCAGTTCAATCAATTCTCCTGTGAAACTCCCGCCCCCCCAAAAGCATCCCAGGTCATCCTATTGCGTCCAAAAAAACGTGGTATTCGAATGGCATCGAAGCAAGCCGCTGGTTTGGGTCTATCCTATTGCCAGTAATAGTGGATGATGGTTCAGTTGCAGGCTTGTTCAAGAATCGTGATTTTGCTTGTTTACAGTCACTGTTACAGGTAAGCTCGGACAGACCAACTGATGATTCTTCTTGGGAGAGCAGCTGCTGCGGAGGTTGGTCCTCTGTGTTCTCTCCGTTCTCTGTCTCTGTGCAGGTAAGGTCTTGGATCAAGATGAATACATCAAAGCAGATACCTCGCTGGCGCAGCTGCAGAAACTGAAGCCAGCCTTCAAGAAGGAGCCGAATTCTCAGGGGCGGGGGCCTGGGCCTGCTTCCGGCGGTTTGGATTGGAAAGCTAATTGATGGCGCGGCGTCAGGAGGGACCAGTCGTACCGAACCTGAGAAGGTGTTTAGGATCCCTGCAGGGACCAGGACCTTCGCTGAGACCAGTCGTACCACTTTTGTGTCCTTCGAATCGCCAGGAGGGAACTGTCACTGCAGGCGAGGCTGGACGGCTGGACGTGTGCTGGGTCCGGGGATGGGTCCGGGGATGGACTTCTAAAGGACATTTTGGTGTACTGATGGACGATGGACCAAACCGTTGTCCTTTTCGTGGCTGCCATCCTCATTTGCCAACTGAAAGATCTCCTTCCAACCGGACCGCCGGACCGGACTCAATAGGAAAGATCGCCGAGGCAACGCCTCCGGCCTCAATGACGGCGCGGCGCTGTGCCTCTTGATGTCGGCGGCCAAGGCGGCGGTGCGCCGTATCGACGCCGCACCGCTTGGACGAGGGATTTCGGTGATTGGGTCGGCGGTCCGGGGAGAAAAAGGGTTGGGGCCGGGTTTGGGTGAAGATATCGAAGACCTACCCCTTATTACAGCGGGGTGCGCAGGTCATTAAGATTCATTAAGGGAATGATCGTGGGCGGACGGATTTCGGGAGGCTGCTTTTGTTGCGGAGGGTCAAGAGACTGGGAGATGCCAATCTTACACTTGCATGCGCTTGACAGTGCGGAGCCCTTTACAAGGTACAGGTAACATTAACATGTGCTGATATGTGTTGGTAGGGAAATTGAAGCCTCCTGAAACCATCTAAACTCTAGAAGGGGACTTTCTCCAACTATCACATTTGGTTGTTAATTTGCGGAACTATACGCAAATAATTTAGCACCACCCATTGATTGGGAGTGGGCTCATTTTGAGACATACCACCTTTACTACTGTTGGTGTTTTTGCCACGCCCATGCGAGGGTTATTCTAAACTACCGCCTGTTTGTTTTCAGATGTTTCAGTAGATGGGATGGAAGATGCTGGAAGTAAAGAAGTGCTTGTGCAACTTAGCTCTGAATTTTCACTGACTTGATTAAATATGATTCAATATGATTCAATTACTGGGAATCATCCTCCTAACGACCTCTTGTGAAACTGCCTTGAAATCACTCTTTTCCTCCAAGCGACGCACCAATAAAGAGGCACAACAGCTGGGTTTGGTGCCGCTGGTGCACGTGAGGGGCTTTGCCAGCGCCGGAGTGGATCCGAAGATTATGGGCGCCTTGGCCGAACGGCAAAACGCGAAGTTCGCCGCGCGAGATTCTCCGAGTGAGGTGGTTCTTGGGAGTTGCAAGATTCGAGTAGGGTGTTTGTTTGGACTAGCCATTGTTGGATTGGTTTGATGTTGGCAAGTTGGGCTATGTTGGCTCTTGTCCCCGTTCACAACGGCAGTGTGGCTGTTTGTGGAGTTGTCCAGTTCGGCTCAAAACTCAGCCATGGCACCATCAAAGCCTTGCACCATGGCCTTTACTTAGATTTGCTCTCGTTGCGGTGAGGGGCACAAAGGATCGCGCGGTGTACGCGAAAACCGGATCGCAGACGTTAAACGGGATTGCAAAGTTGGGTGAACGAACGGATTTCTGCGCAATGGGCATGTCGAGCATGGTTTGACCAATGTCATTCCATAGGGATCCACATACCTTCTCAAAAGGTATGACTGGGCCCTCCTGGTGTCTACATAAATAGTCTCCAATCACTAATCACCTTCTCAGAAGGTATGTGGATCCATAGGGATTGTTTGATGCTAAAGGCTTAAGCTTGCAAAAGGTGATGTGCAAATCATGGACAACTCCAAGTACTTGGCCAACAGGTTTCGTTGAGTGTCGTTTTTGCCCCCGCAGTACCTCCCTTTGGTATACTGTACTCTCCTTAAGCCTTATTGGTTCATCAGGCATTTACTATGATTTACTGTAAACCAATAAAGGTGAAACCATTGTAAACCATTGTCTTTACTGGAAACCCTCTGTAAACCATTGCTTCACCTCTTAGCGGAGAAGATCGGAACCACCACCGGCTCTACCGGCGAACTGGGACGTGAACGGCTTTCGCCGAACGGGCGCGTCAGGTACGGGGCCCATTCCCAGCAGCAAGAAAGTGCTCGAGAAGGCCGGGGGTGGTGATGTGACATGGGTTGAGACATGTGGGTTGAGGAAGGTGCTGTGACAGTGAGGGTGGGTGTGGTGTTTTTCCAATATGGAGAGAATGCCTGGCCCTGGCTGGGTAGACTGGTCTATTTCCCTTCGAAATTTCTTCCGGGTCGCCAGGATTCGGTCTCCTTATTGGAAGAGCTACAAACCCATGGAGCTACATGGATGGCCCAGACTGTGTGTGGGCAACAACTATGATTCCAGTCACAGGGATGGTTTTTGTCCAAGACAGGCTTAGGGAGTTGCCACGGGTTCGGTCTCCCTAAATACGCCCTTTGTGAAGGTGATTGGAGACTATTGGATTGTAGGGGATTGTAGGGGAGGGTCCAGTCGTACCTTGTGAGAATGTGTGGATCCCTAACCCTAGGGATCCAAATACCTTCTGAGAAGGTGGGACTGGGGTGGGTTTAGAGGGTCCAAATACCTTCTGAGGAGGTACGACTGGAGCCCTAGGGTAAATAAACACCACACGCCCTGATTTGTTCCGCCGTGTTCCAGGTGGGCTGGTCCGTGAAGGACCTGGACATTGTAGAGGCCAACGAAGCTTTCGCAGCCCAGGCCCTGGCGGTGAACCAGGCGCGAGGAACGGAACTCGGGCGAGGTGGGGAACGGAACTTTGCGAAGGAATGGAGTGGGAATGGATTTTGGAAGAGAATCAGCCCAGCTGAAGAGGACTCATGGTTCAATTTCACAGTGATTTTATGCTTGTGCTATGTTTGTCGACGGCGTTTTGCTGTGGGGATTTCGTTGGAGACTGTTCTGAGCGATCGAATTCGTCAGAATCCTTGACCTCACTGCATAATAAGATCTCACTAGCTTACCCATTTTTTTTTGGCAAAAAAAGAGGTTGTTGGGACTTAGTTCAACCGAGGAGGGACATTTGCCATCACCGTCACCGTGCTAGTTTTGGAGGGCTGGTGAGGAGTGAGCAGACTGGAATTGTGCTTGGGCGCTTGCAACATGTTCAATCCGAATGCACGCTCCCAACAAAAAAGGACCGAATCTCACAGACCACGTTTGCTAGAGAAGATCGAGGAGGTTGCCAGGCCTGGTCCGTGTTGGTTTTGCCAACCGCTTGAATGATCTATATACCCTACAAGTCCCTTATGCCTCCTTGAGATCCTTGAGTAGTATTTTTGCATGACCAACTCCAGTAAAATGAGGTCCAACTGACCTGTAGGGATAGTGTATTTAGTGGTACATGCTTATTTTCTTGCAGTTCAAAGGCGCGCCCGCGTTCCCCAGCGCTCTTCAGGAGATGGGCTGGGACGCTGCCAAGGTGAATGTCAACGGTGGTGTGCGGGGCCCCGTTTCTTTGGCGCGAGCACCGTTTCTTTGGCGAAAGTGAGCGACCTCGACAGGAAACCCTATGGATTCACAGACCTTTTGAGGTGATTGAGTGACCCTTCGTTTGCAGGTTTGAAGGAGCCAGTCGTACCTTCGAAGGTATGTGGATCCTGGGGGGAGAGATACAGCTCCATTGCTATATTGCCTTTGGACATGTTTTGGAAGACATGTCTGTTTACTGCAGGGGCTGGTTGCACCTTTCCAACGTTTCCCAGTTGCACCCGGAGGGTTCGGGACGGAGCTTATACGTCTTTTTTTGGTACCGGGGTGACCTGATGAGGCTCCAAAAGCGTGCATCTTTAACCTTCATACCTTCGCTCAGACCACGAGTCGCGATTTCCAGGCTCTACCCATCTCTACCCCCAGAGGTTCTTCGCGAAGCCGTAGCGAAACGCCGGGAAAACAGCAGCGTTGAAAACCCGAACTCGAAGCCGTCTACCCCAACGAGGCCATCGCCATCGGGCATCCCATCGGCGCATCTGGCTGCCGCATCGCCGTCGCTGGGACCGCAGGGACCGTATGAGTTAGGTGCGCGCATGGTGTTATCATTTGGGTGTGTTTTATTCAAAACAGGAGACAACCAAGAAACTGGTAGACTGGTCTATGTTCCTTCTTCTGCCAGGTTTCGGTCTCATTTGAGCTACACAAGCGCCCAGATGCGTGGTACTCTGACTCGATGCGTGGAGATACCAGGTGGATCGTACCCCGTGGAAAACTGGACCCGGTCCAAACCTCTGGTTGGTCAAACAGTCTTTCAGGGTGCCGGGTGCCAAAACCACAAGGGTCCATGGGAGTTGACTTGGGAGTGTTTCCTGGCTATTTGTTCGTATCCTGTTTGTTCGGGTGCTGAGTCTTACCCAATACGCTGTGCACTCATGGAAATGTATACCGGACCTTCCAAGCGTCAGCGTGTTCTTTGTTCAACCTCATCAGTCTCATGTACTACTAAGCCCCAAGAAGTAAAAGAGAGGTTTTTCGGTTGATGGACATTCCGTTTTCTGTAACGTGAGAACGTCAAAACCCTCTTTCATTGACGGATGGGAAGGAACACTCACAGCTTGACCTGGTATATCTGGCTGAGGGGGCAAAACTAGGATACCTCGCAAACGTGATTGCCGCAACTGGATCCGAGCACTCCCCACGTGCCCCTTGATACAGAGTGGTATCGGCTATGGAGGGGTGAAAAGTGGTGAATAGTTTTTAACAATGTATGTGTGATTCTCACACGTGATGCCAACACTGAGAAGAGAATTGCCATAGAGCAAAAGATCAGCCTGTAGCCTTTGGCCACCTACAGTGGGAAGCTTACAGTTGAGACACAGCTGTATACCTCGGCATTTTCAAGTGGCTAAAGTGAGCAGATGAGCATTTAAGACCAATTATCAGATGCTCAAGTTGGTACAAGAACAAAGCTCGCAGGCTCCCTCGGAGGTTAAGCTACACGGTGTTGGTTTTGACCCATTCCCGAGGATCACAATCGGTTGAGGCCCACAGAGGGGAAAAAAACGTGAGGTTTTTGTTCGATGTTTTGGTTTCTTTCCCAGATCATCCATGAGACTGGAAGAGTTACTAAACCAACCACCCCAAACTGGTCGGCCAATACGCCAGTCCCATGGATTATCAGGGTTTCTTTGAGACCAACCAAATCCGAGAAACCACCCATTTTCAGCAGTTCTGTAGTTGAACAGTTGGTTGATTCTTGTATACTCGTCCCTGTTTCACTGTTTTGCTTCTGTATGCTCGCAGGTTCGATCCGAAGGGAGAGAAGTTCGCAATGGGAGTGAAGGCGTGAAGTCTTTGAACATATGTTTTGGCTTGACAAACACAAACACTGCACGGTCTATTCCACATGGATCATTCTGGTGCATGGGTTTGCCTCGCAATGGAAGACCACGATTCTCCGACTTTGTTTGATGCCTCCGAAGTGGCCTCAGTAAAACATTGGTGGACGCAAGTGGTGGCACAGACCTGTCAAATTAGGGCTTCATGTGTGCGAACGTGCTAACCGCTAATTGCATGCGCCCTTTTTGCGGCTATTGGCTGTGGGCCCATTTAAAGGCTATTCTCGGGCTGGAAAATGGGCTTTTGGCCGTCTTCCAGGGTCTGCATCGGTGCGTTATGCGAGCAGAGCCTCATGACTCACGCCTATGGCCTGTATAGCATACAAGCGTACACTGACCCGTCAAATCATCCCTGTGTAGGGACTCTGGCATGCGTGCAGGGTCTGGCATACAGGAATTCATTGCAGATGGAAAACCAGCAAGCTGTCAAACTTGACAAATTCTGGGGGCTGTTGGGTTGACCTTGAAGTTGTAGTGCGTGTAAGGCTGTTCTTTTCGTGAGGGCCCTGCAAATTTTGTTTTGTTTTCGAAGACTTGGGCATGCGAGAACGCACTAGCAACATCCCGGGCGTCACCAAACCCATGGACAAGTGCCCGCTGTATGGATCTCCATGGGGCACTTTTTGGATGGTCCAAGAGACGCGCTTGAGCCAAACACTAAGGAACCGTTGGGTTGCCATTGTGCAAAACAACCCCCAAGCCACCCGAGGTGGATCTCATCCATGAGATGAAGCGCCGGAACTTGCGCAAAGGACTTGCCACGCTGTGCATTGGTGGCGGCCAAGGCGCGACGCAGAGCGACGCAGCGACTGCCTCAGCGGGCCGCAATTGGAGGGATCAACAAGATATCTAAGATCCACACGGACCATCAAAGGGGTGGCACAGGAGAACATGTGCGAGTGATTGAAGGTCCTACAAACGTTATACGATTTGTGTTGGCGGTTGGAACCTGATTCGTTTCCCAATCGTACTTGGTCGATTATAGTTTTTGTAAGTGTTTTTGTAGTGACTAATTCAGCTGATTGTTCTCCCAACTCAGTGTTGGAGTGCAAGAGTTGTGAAGCAAGTGGTTGGTTCAATAGCAAAATGTGTCATGAAAATCAAGGACAAATACATGTCCTGTGTGAACCTGTTAAATGCGAAAATTTCCACAAATTTGGAGCCTTTCATGCTGCGTTTGCTGCTAAAACATTTGAATGTTTCAATCACCGGAAGGATTGCACACAAAAAATTGTTGACGAAACAGTGTTTTTTGAGGGGTTCAGGGGGAGTTTTCAACGTCTCAAATGAACGCACATTGACCTTCCCAGAAACAGTGGATATCAGTGGATAACCCTTACATACCCTCACACAATTTTTGCTGGGAGGATTGGTTTCCCCACTATACCACACCATGCAGGCAGAAAAAGAGAACCTTTACTTAAAGAACCAGACCCAAATCCATCTGTTGATTTGCGTAGTTGCTAAACCCCCCATAATCCTCCATCCATGCTTATTGCGTTGTCAGGAGTGGCGATGTGCTTTGAACGGCTTCCAAACAGCAAGCTGTGACACTTTTCTTCCGCCTAGAAGGAGGCAGGTCCGCGGGTTGAAGATGCTGCCTTTGCGGTTTCCTTTGGGTGTGTTCTGCGATTTCCCGTCCAGGTACCACATAGTGGTTTGCAAGTAACTTGCAAGTGCTTGGGAGGATCCATGTCATTTCAGAGTAAGGTGATGTTTGTTTTTCGAAGTTGCTCGGAATATCCGAAGTAAAACAAGTCCACCGAACGCGGAATGATGCGGAACGCGGTTTTTGCACAGCATTTTCTCGCGGCATGTCGCGGTGTGTCGGCTGGGATCAGCCGTGATGGGCTGAAGCAAACGGCGCCTTGAGATGTTCATGCAAAGATAGACTCTGACTGACTACCTAAGGAAGTGGACCAACTAACTCATCAGTTGAAAATCAGGCTAAGACGACTTTCCTTTGCGAACAGGAGGTGAACTGTGGGTCTTTAGTGGATCCCAAACAATCCACGAATGTTTGGTGGTAACCCGTGGTTTCAGAAGACGGCCAAACCGACCGAACGGAACGGGCCCCTGGTTCCTTATATAATCAGTACCTGGGATCCAATGGGAAGAGCAACATGTGAGGGATTCTGATGATACCGTGGAGAATCGCAACACCATGCGGCATCCATGCCGTCTAAGCAGCGCTTGGAAAAATGGGTCGTTCATGACAGAACACGATAGATGCACAGCTCGGAAGGTGGAGCTCCAGGGATCCGCTGCACGCACGATGTGTTTCCTGTCAACCCACTTGGTCAACCGATGATAGACCTCCATCCCGACCAGAACAGTCTATTACATCTATACTACTGCTTTTTGCATGCATCAGCAGTCTACATTGTTGACTTGGTGGTATTTTTGAATCAACCAAATACATCCAGAGGCCGTTCCAATAGTCAACAGTCTACGAGTCTACCCAGACCCTCCAGTCGGTAGAAAATGGAACAGGTCTTAGTGCATCGGCCAATGGCTTGAGACTCCCGCATGACCTCCGCGGAGGTCCATTCCGCACGTGGAGCACGTGGAGACATCGTTGGGGTTCATTCGGGTTCATCCGCCCAGAAGCTGGTGTTCAGATCGATGAGCTCATAAACAATAGATCGACATCATGCTTTCGGGTTCAGAACCACGAGCACGAGCACTTACATTACTTTTCAAGTGGATCCTTGTCGGAGAATGTTCTTTTTCGCATGCGAGAGCCGATCAAGGTGAAAGTCTTACAAACGGCCGAAAGGGGACACTCACAGTGATGGAAACGGTTTCGATCGTGAAGCTATACTTATAGTGTTATGGATGGAAAGTGGATGGCACAATCCGCAAGTTTGGTGGTTTAAAGAGCTTTGCGCCATCTACTCTTGAAACCACTGTACTTCAGTGGTGCACGCACATAAAACGGACTTTTTGTCTCCGCTCCAATACCTACCGCACCGAAAGCCCTCTCCTCTTCAGGGAGTATTGGTGCTTTTAAGGAGATGGGCATCAACATACCAGCAGTTCCAAAAGAATTGTGTTTTTGTCCCATCCAGGGGCCGTGGATGTGACAGGGACACACCTTTTCAACCCCTCCAAGTGTCACACTGCAACATGGAACTCGTGGAATTCTATATAATATGTAGTAGGTGGTGTTTCTTGAACTCAACAAAACCCTCCAAGCATTGGCCTTCAGATGCCTTCAGTTGTTTCTTCCAGCCTACCCAGGGTTGGACTACGTAGACTCAGGATCCGATTTAGAGGTCCTTGACGACCATCGATCCTAGACGAATTGTGACTGGTGGCGCATTGATAATGGCCGCCCCATGACTGGTGGTTATTGGCTATTGGTGGTTTTCACGTAGGTCATAGCCATACGCCATTGTGCATCGTCTGGGCTTGGGACTGGCAGAGTTACATGGATGGCCAAGTGCCATTCGTCGACATCAAAGTCGCCTCCCCCAAAAGAGAATGGGCGAAAGAATTCCGCCCAAGTGACTTAGTGGACAATCCCAACATTTGGTGGTGCATGTATGTGCGTGTTAGTGGTCAGGCTTCAGCGAATCAGGTTCATCTACTCCACAGTTGTGGTATTCAACAGTTTATGGTGTGAATCCAATTAATGACCTGGCGGTGCTTGTTCAAACCACGGAGAGTTCAGCTGGTCAACCTTGTGCCTGCCATTTGTGTTCGGCGTTTGCTCCCTTTTTGTTCGATTGAGAGCTTATTGCGATTTGAATACCACGAAGATCACTGCTGCAGTTTTGACATGCAGATCGCGTCACATAACATGACATTCAGGCAAGCTACTCATTGGGTTGATTGACCTTCACATGTGGACCTTATAAGGATGCTTCCTTCTGGAGATCTAAAAACACACCCCCATACTCAGAAGCTCTGGGGGTCAGCCCTCCACTTACAGGTGGTCGCTCCTCTTGTGAACAACATGAACAAACAAACATGTCTGCAGAACACCTAGGGATCCTCAATGGGCCACGGATTCCCAGGGACGGTTGGGCGGATATTCACGCACTCATGTGACTCGCAGCTGCCTGAAATCATCTTCGAACTCGGAGAGTGAGTGAACATCACTGTGTTGAACATCACCCTGTTAACTATTTCGCCTTGATTTCAGGGTCATTCCGTTCCGAGTGCCATCAGCGTCGTCCATCCAAGGGAACCCCCATGGGATTTTTGTGGAGATCCCTCGGTGGGAGACCGTGGACCCGGTCACAGCATGAGGGACCCCCGGTCCACCAAGGAGGTCAACCTACCAGGGTGAGTCCTGAGTCGGGTGCCATGAGAACACACAGCCATGTAGACTCCTTAATACTAAAACCACTCAGATCCGGTCTGTCATAACAGGGCCCCTTGTCTTTCAGACCCCTGTCACACTGGGGGTTTTACTATATCAAGAGTCACATTACATGACCCAGTCAGTGGGTAGGTTAACCTTCATTTTTTCCTGGGAAAGGGCTCGAAAGTCAGATACTCTATACCAGCTGATCAACCCTATGAGCGGCCGTTCGCTGGATGTCGCTTCGTTTCAAGTAGGGTGATGGACCTCGCCGATGGCCAGCACTTTCCGTGATCGATGTCGGCAACAATGGTTGGTTTCATTTTCTTTTTGGTCTTCAAAACATGTGTGACGCTGAAATTGTTCAGAGACATTGTTCTTCTTTCACTTCTTCAAAACACGTGGGGATCATCACCACTGTACAGACTGTAGATTGTAATTCCAATTCTGGGCCACTAGAGGTTGAGGTCCTTCAACAAACCCAGAAGAGGCCGTGAACCAGAAAGAGCGTGGCCAAAAAACCTGAGACGGAGACTTTGGGGGTGTCACGAGTGACAATTGAGTGACCATGAGTGGCTGAAAAACCTTTGCATCGGACTGAGAGGAATTGTGATGTGTGATGGGAAAATGGTCTGGGGGTGTGTTCCAGAAAGCATCCCAGTACTACCCCCTATACTGTATCTACAAAAACGAGGGGTGACAGGGGAACATCTAAGGTAATTATATAACCTACTTGTTGGGATGATATTACGTCCCAATACCAGAACATCTAGGAACAGTTTATTTTTTGTGATCACTTTTTCCTACCATCCACTGGGCCCTGGTAATATATCCAAGGGATGCCCTGTAGCAACCAGGAGCCAATGCATCCCAGTTACTGGTCAGGAGGGTCCCAGAGGCTGTGTGTATTTTGGTTTCTTCAACATTTGAGAAGTGTATTTGCTAATTGAAACATCCGTTCAACGATACCTATCAATTTCGGTCGGAATTTCACAATTTGAAGAATCCAGTCGCTCAAATCACCACTTGTTTATGATCCCTCCAAGTTTCCCTGAGCATACCGGATGCAACCTCAGGCATACATCCGCAGTGTTGCTGAAGAAAGGAGCCCACCATCTTGTGATCGTTCTTATTCCACATCAACCACTCGAGGGGAACAGAAATCCCAGTGGATCTAGATATCACTAGTTCGCCGGCAACCAGTGGTTCCAAGCGTGATCAAACCATAAGACCGAACAGAATCCGGGCTCCTGGTTCCAGCCCTACTCGTGGCTGCGGAGTTGGTGGGAATGGTTGTAGAGAGCGACCACCTGAACCGACCGCCGTGGATCAGTCCGATAGTCTTCCCATGTCTTCTTTAGGGTGGTGAATTCCATGCTCATTGACACCAGCATTGAGTGGATCTCGGTGCTTTTGAGTGGATCTGCACCCTAAAGCTCTTGAGTGGATCCGCAGCATTGAGTGAGGGCACTCCTCGGGCCCCGAACCAGCCCAAGCCGGTCAGTCGGTCGAACTGCAGCCAGCGAAAGGTCGTGGGAACGGCTGCACGAGATGCACGCGACTTCTTCGTCCCTAGGGCTCCAACCACATCCTCAAGTTCGGTGGTTGGGGGGGGCTTCTGGCCTAGGAGAACCGTCGGATGTGGGACAGGAGCCCTAGAATTGGGGTATATTGAGGTTTCTACTTGGTACGGCTCCGGATCCAGGACTTCCCTGAGTTGCTCCGCTGGTCCTACGCTGGGGCCTTGGGTCACCAGTATCTTCCATATGACCCCTATCCCATACACCACCCATGGGACTGGCATATTGGCCGATCAGTTCGGGTGGTTGACCTGGGGTTTCTACTGGGGTGGCAGTCCGCCACACATATCCATACATTTATCGTGTCTGAGTATAGAAACATCCAGAAACCCCTGCAGTCCTTTCCCAACCCATGGCTGGGAAGTCACACATGTTGCACCCCCGTCCCTTCACTGATCTGAACGGACCGGTGACCACCGGCGCTCTTCCGCGGCGCAGGTCCAGGCAGAGCGTTCCGAACGGGTGGATCCGAGCGCCTCACGTCGCGCGCGCCGCTGAGCTCCAAAAGCGGACCGGTGACGGACCGGTGAGTGAGGTTGGAGGGGGAAAAAGGCGCTAGATGCACACCAGCAATCAAGAGCAAAGATGGGGGGGTTGTCCGGGGTTGTCCGGGCGAAAGAGGGAGATCTCGAAGCGGGGTTTGGAGGGTTTTGGAGGGTTTTGATCATTCTTCCAAAAGGTCTTTGGGAGGATCTCCCCAGTTAAATAAGTAAGATCCATCGTCATGAAACATCAGCATCAATCATCAACAGATTTTCCCCGAGATCCATCTCGGAGTGCTGATTGGAGGGCTGTCGTTTGGGGGTGTTTTGTCAGGGTCCACTTATTGAGGGTCTAAGAAATCACCTCTTGAAATCCATCTTTACAGATTCAGGTGGGGAATCACGGAGACGGACCGGGGCACTTAGTCGAACTACGCCGCTCTGGGCGAATGTTGTCGCGACCTCCCGGCTCCCCAGCATCTTCGAGTGCCGTGATCGCCCTGGGAGGCGATGGTTTATCAAATGGTTTTCTTGAACACGTCTTCTTCCCTTTGGCAACTGGTCTCCCACACATCAGAAAACCGGCCTCTATCTTACCGGCAGAATTTCTCCACCTGCCGATATTCTGCCCAATGACGACTTGCGCAATGTGCAGGCTTCATTCTTGTTTCGCGTGTTGGCAAACATTATCATCACTGTCACTGCCAGCACCTCCATTCTGGCAGCTGCTGTGGACGTGCTTGCCACATCTCCTCCGCGGCCTGAAGAGGCAGCAGATTGTTGAGACCAACGAATGAGGTGAAAAAAACGCAAGAAAACCGTAAGCCCCAGGCACAAGCACCAGGCACACCAGGCACACCTGGAGCTCGCTCCTATCGCCTCACGTTTTTTCGCAGCTCTCACGGCCTCCTCTCGCGAGCGAGCTCAAAACGGGTCACGGATTGCTGTGGCTCCAGGGCTGGACACCTCTCCGGCTCCAGAACATCAGATCAGAGGAAAGAGAAGGAAGAGGGGAAAGAAGAAGCTGAGACAGAGACAGGCAAGGCGAACATGGATGAGAAAGACGAAGAAAGGGAAACGAGCACAAAGAAGAGCTATTGATTTTGAGGATGGAGGCAAAGACACAGACATCACAACCAGTAATCCGGTCCACCTAATAAAAAACACGTACCCCCCCCCCTAATAAGGAAACCTCGGTCGCATTTTTTCTAATAGGGGGTCCCTGAAATCGGGGGGGCCCAAAATAG